TGTAAAAGATTCTGTTATTATTGGTAATGGTATTTTGGTTGATGGTTTATATAAATTAGATTTAAACCCTGATATTGATCATAACCACTTAACCTTGCATGGAAATATTGGCATCAAGTGTAAGGCTAAAACAGAGAAATCTTCTTCATTATGGCACAGGAGATTAGGACATATCTCCTTACAAAGAATTAAAAGATTAGTAAATGATGGAGTACTTGATACTCTTGATTTTTCTGATTTTGGTATTTGTGTGGATTGCATAAAGGGTAAGCAGACTAACAAAACCAATAAGGGTGCCAGAAGGAGTTCTCAAGTTTTAGAGATCATACACACTGATATATGTGGACCTTTTCAAATTTCATGTTTCAATAGTCAAAAATATTTTGTCACCTTTATTAACGATTGCACACGTTTTATGTATCTTTACATTCTAAATGATAAAAGTGAAGCACTTGATGCTTTTAAATCATATAAGGTGGAGGTAGAGAAACAAAGGGAAAAATAAATCAAGATAGTGCGATTGGATAGAGGAGGAGAATATTATGGTAGGTATACAGAATAAGGACAAAGACCAGGTCCATTTACAAAATTCCTTAGAATGGCATTATAGCACAATATTCGATGCCAGGCATACCAAAATAAAATGGTGTAGCAGAAGGAATCGAACGCTAATGGACATGGTAAGAAGTATGATTAGTAATTATTCTCTCCCTTTATCTCTATGGAGTGAGGCCTTAAAAACCGTTGTGTATATCTTAAACAGGGTTCCAACTAAATCGGTTCCAAAAACACCCTTTGAGTTATGGAATAGTTGGAAACCAAGTTTAGGACACTTACACATATGGGGTTGTCCAATTGAGGTCAGGGTGTACAATCCTATAGAGAAAAAGTTTGACTTAAAGACAATAAATGGGTTTTTTATCGGCTATGCAGAAAAGTCCAAGGGGTTCAAGTTTTATTGTCCTTTGCATAAACCTATTATTGTTGAGGCGAGAAATGCTAGGTTTCTTGAGGATGTTGACATTAGTGGGAGTGAACAACCCCGGAATTTAATTTTTGAGGAAATACGGGATTTGGTTGTTAGACCTGTGACTAAAGAACCTTTACTTGTACTTCAAGACATTTCTTAAGACGTTATTATGGAAGAACAGGTAAATCAAGAAGTTCATACTCACGAGAATCCTATTGTCAATGAACCTGTTCTAAATGAACAAATAGAGTTAAGAAGGTCCTCAAGAGTAAGAAAACCTGCAATCCCCTCTGATTATGTTGTATATCTACAAGAAATTGACCATGATATTGGAATTGATAAAGACCCAATTACGTTTTCACAAGCCATGAGTGGAGAAAATTCAAGGTTATGGTATGATGCCATGTTAGAGGAACTAGACTCTATGGCTAAAAATCAAGTCTGGGATTTAGTTTAATTGCCAGAAGGGGCTAATGCAGTTGGCTGTAAATGGGTTTATAAGACTAAAAGAGACCCAAAAGGCAAGATTAAACGATATAAGGCCAGACTTGTAGCCAAAGGGTATACCCAAAGGGAAGGCATTGATTACCATGATACCTTTTCTCCCGTTTCTACAAAGGATTCCCTTTTTATTATCATGGCATTGGTAGCTCATTTTGATTTAGAGTTACATCAAATGGATGTGAAAATGACATTTCTTAATGGGGGCTTGAATGAGGAGGTATACATGAAACAACCTGAAGGTTTTCATTTAGATAAAGAAAACAATATGGTTTGTAAAATCAAGAAATCCATATATGGGTTGAAACAAGCTTCACGTTAATGGTATTACAAATTTCATGATGTTATCTCTTCTTTTGGGTTTAAAGAGAATATCGTTGATCAATGTATATACCTTAAGGTTAGTGGGAGTAAGTTCATTCTCTTGATCCTATATGTGGATGATATTTTGCTTGCTAGTAGCGACTTAGGGTTGCTACATGAAGTTAAAGAATTTTTTTCTAGAATTTTTGATATGAAAGATATGGGTGAAGCATCCTATGTCATTGGCATAGAAATTTATAGGGATAGATCCCAAGGATTGATTGGATTATCCCAAAAGGCCTATATCAATAAAGTTTTAGAGAGATTTCAAATGTTGGGTTATGCTTCAAGTGTTGCTCCTATTGTCAAGGGTGACAAATTCAGTTTAAATCAGTGCCCAAGAAATGATTTGGAAAGGGAAGAGATGGAAGTCATTCCTTATGCATCTGCAGTAGGATGTCTAATGTATGTGCAAGTATGCACTAGACCAGACATTGCATTTGCAGTAGGAATGTTAGGTAGATACCAAACTAATCCAGGAATGGATCATTAGCGAGCTGTAAAGAAAGTGATGCGATATCTATAAGGGACAAAGGATTACATGCTGACATACAAAAGATTAGATCTTTTGAAAGTGGTTGGATATTCTGATTCTGATTTTGGAGGATGCATTGACTCTAGAAAGTCAACATCAGGATATGTATTCTTCTTTGCAGGAGGCGCTATCTCATGGAAAAGCTTAAAATAGAAATCAATCATTTCCTCTACTATGGAGGCGGAGTACGTAGCATGTCATGAGGCTACAGGACATGCCTTATGGTTACGGAATTTTATCACAGGTCTTAAAATTGTTGATTCCATCTCTAAGCTATTGAGAATCTATTGTGATAATTCCGCTGCAGTTCGTTTCTGTAACAACAATACAAGTGGCAGTTCAAATAAGTGGATTGACATAAAGTTCCTTGTTGTTAAAGAAAAAGTTCAGAATCATCAAGTGTTAGTAGATTACATAGGAACAAGGTCGATGGTCGCAGATCCTATGACAAAGGGTTTGCCACCCAAATTGTATAAGGAACATGTAGGACATATGGGGCTTATTGATATGTCTTGTGTTTGATTTACTGAGACGCTTTAAAGTTTGCAATTGCATTTATGTTATGATGATTCTTAGTTTTATTTTTATTATTTTTTTTTATTTGTCATTTTTAAGGAAGTATACATAAAGTTTATAAATGACAAATTATCCTTTTGGATAATAAAGTAGGACCTTAGAATAGGCTTATGGGAGCTTATTCATACAGATAGTCCATTGGGACAATAAAGTTGACTTCCTTGAATAGTTTTTGAAATAATTATTTATAAAGTACAACCACATAAAGATGTTTATCTAAAGAAAGACAGTTATATAATGATATATGGAAGGTAGTACTCATTTGTATAGTGTAATTTCCGCCATGATTTTATACACTGAAATTCTATAGATAAATTTTTTTTAGTTCTCAAACCCATAAGGGTAATGAATGTGTTAATATTGGCCAAGTGGGAGAATGTTGGACACGTTTATTCATTAAACGTGGTGTGGCCTATATTCTCACACTATTCTAACCACTTCCACTAACACAACATTACTGGGAAGTTACGACTACGTGGTTTTTGGGAAGTTACGGTGGTTTTATAATAACTGCCATTTTGAATCAAAATAGAAAAGAGGGCTTGTATGATGGATTACTTGCTTCTCGATTTTATTTTTTACAAAATCCTACAGAGGTCCCATGTCTAACAAGTATAGTCTGTGTTGTCTCTATCAAGTATACGCATCAAGACTTGTATAGGCGTGAACATCATTAGGATTTCCAAATTTGTTTTGCAGGCATTAACCAAATTGATTTCATGGCTGGAGGTAATGCGATCTCTTTGGACTTGATAGTTTCTTTCAAACATGTTTTAATATTGGTTGTTGCGGTTTACACCCCTATGAATATCGCCTATAACCCCTCATTATTTGTTCACCTCTCCTATATGTTAAAAATAGTGCGAATTAATGCCTTTTAGCCGTTATGTCCTCTATTGACCGGTACCGAAAATTCTTGAATTTCGTGTTTGATTGAGGGACCGTATCTCTTCCAGAGAAAAGCGAATTCCCCATATAAGGAATAAGCAACAATTAGGCAGAGATTTTTTGGATGGAATCCAAATCAGGTCATAAGAATTTTTTTCTGCCTAATGCTAAGGATTGTGTGGTAATTACCAATCTCGTCAGAGATTTCAGGTTGTCGAAATGCCCAAGAACCTAACCAATCGCTTCGCCGCCCAAATTCCCTCTGTCGACTACATTGGCCACCACATCAGTACTTAATTCAGCACCCACATTATTGCAGTTTTGCCTCTGAGTTTCTGTAGAAAGACACCTCGTAGCTTCTCTTTCGGTGATAGAATCCCATCAACGGCCAGACTAATTGAGCTATCTCCGTGTGGGTTTGGGATTGAAGCTTTGCTACGGCAGCAAATCGGTAACAAATGAAATAGTTTATCCAAGATGTGATTTTGGTCCTGTTGATGATACTGGACTGGTTCTTGATTTGCTTATCTGATGATGGTGATTCATCAAGTGGGAAAAATCTTTGTATATTTGCCGGCTGCAGCAACGGTGAGGGCGTAAATAAAACACTCGGATGAGGCACTACAAGAAAAATAACTTTTTACCACGGTGGAAAAAGCTTTCTACCACGGTTTTGAACCGTGGTAGAAACAGCCGTTGTAGAAAGTCGAGACTTTCTACCACGGTTTTGCACCATGGTAGAAAGTCTATTTTCAACCACGGTTCCGCACCGTGATAGAAAATGGTTCTTTTTACCACGGTTTCGCACCGTGGTTGAAAATAAACTTTCTACCATGGTGCAAAACCGTGGTAGAAAGTCTTTCTTTCTATCACGGTCCATAACCGTGGTAGAAAATGTTATATAATTTTTTAAAAAAATAATAATTTAACCCTTATGAAGCCTCTTTTGTGTATATATATATATATATATATATATATATATATATATATTAAATGGGTAACCTATATATTGTCCAACAACATATATCACTCATATCCTACTCCACGTAGACAACCAAATTGCAACCAAAGGCATATATATATACAACAATCACCTAAAATTAATCCCAAACATTCATTAAATAATTTGAAGTACAAAGTTTCCATCATTGTTAAAAAAAGAACACCAATCACCAAAAATTAATCCAAAACATTCATTGAATAATTTAGAGTACAAAGTCTCCATCATTGTTAAAAAAAAGAAAACCAAGTGCTAACAAAAGATTGCAAAAAGAAGTAGCACCGCCAAGCTTGCCCAACCATCTTTATTCACTGTGCCAACAAAGGATGATCACTAAGGAAGTTAGGCATGTGGTCACTAGCATTACCACCATCACTGCTAACCCTGAAATGGATTAAAATTAAGATTGTGATCATTGAAGCAAAAGAGCTCCCTTAATTAACATGGTAAAAAACCAATATTGTAGTTGCTAACTAAATGCCAGTTGAACAAACCTTCTACCCAAGGTAAATAACCAATGTATTTATCTTAGAAACCAGGGAAAAAAATTACCCTTATGCTAGACAATACATAAGATCTAACAATGAACTATTTGTTGTTTTTATCATGAGCATAAACTCATTATTCTTTTATGGAATGGGTAAAAAAAATTATGAACAAACCTTCTACCTAAGGTAAATAACAATGAACTATTTGTTGTTTTTATCATGCATATCTTACATGTCCTGTTATTCTTTTATGGAATGGGCAAAAAAATTATGCATTATAAGATTTGCTTAAATTCTCAAAAATTGAGAGGAAAGAAGAATAGATGTTTGTGTGTGTGTGTGTGTGTGTGTGTTGTGTGTGATCCACGTAATACTGGGAAGAATAAGCCCAAATCTTAATAGAAAAATAAAGCCCATTATAATATATTAATACACATGTTAATATACAGACATCAAGAGATATATTACTAATAAAAAAAACTTTCACAACTAACTTTTAAATTTTAAAGTAGATAGAACTAGTGTGGCCCCCCAAACAAAAGTTGATGGGTCCACCCCTGATTCATAATAAAAAAAACCAAACCAATAAGATAACAAAACTGCAAATGTTAAAGACATCAATCGAATGAACACAAATACTATGCAGTATCCAGCAATGTCAAAAGCATAACCAGATCATTATGAACTTAACTATAATCGAAAGACCTAGGAGCCAATCATATCATAAATAGAATATGGGAGAACTAATAGTATTGTAGAACTAACGCTGTTTAAGTTTGGAAATTATATTTATATCTATCTATATATCACAGTATACACCAAGACTAGGTTTTGTCAGACTCAATTAACTAAAAAGAAATTCACTTTAGCCTCTAAAACATATATCAGGACAAAGATCACATGCAAACCATCCTCTATTAAAATTATACCAAAAAACAAAAGCTAAACTATAATCTAATCATCTTGACAGAGCGGTGTGGAGGAGACTGTATACATACATGATTATTCTTGACATCTAGTCAAACTTGCAAGTGAAAAGTAGAAAGAAAAGAAAGAGTGCATAAAATAATACTTACAATTCTCACTTTTCGTACGGGGGGTACATAACAATGTCAACTTAGGATTTTAAATTCATTAGCACATGGACTTCCATAATACAGCTCACCACCTGTTTAATTTTAATTTGGTTAGCAAACAGGATAAAAAGCACTCAGACATTATAATATGTAGTTGAAAGACAAAGGATAAGCAGACAATTTCTTTGAAAAAAGAAGAGAAATGTTGGTATATATATATATATATATATAGAGAGAGAGAGAGAGAGAGAGAGAGAGAGTTAAAAAAAATGTCTATAGCACAAGATTGTTGACCAGGTATTAGAGATAAAGCTGCACGTTCAGCTTTTGATTGCATATGAACTAATAATGAAGGACAAAAAAGCTCATGGACCATCTGTTCAGTTTATTTGTTGAAATGGAACTGTAGTTCACTAGCAAGACACTTTAGTGCAAAAATATAACTCATAGTGCAAAGCCAAAATTAGGCTTTGAATATATGATAAAAGGAGAATACTCGAACACAATTTTCATTTAAAAAATAAAATACATATTCCCAAAATTTTATTTGGGAACAAATTACAATTTCTCCTATACTATTATGCGGAGTATAATCCCTTAATTCCAAATGAGAGTTCCCTGGGCATATATTTCGATGCTATGCAGGTCTAATTAGGGGTATACAATGGACCATCATTTCCATCTTACCACCTTGGCAACAAATAAAATTCCATACATTAAAAAGGCTCAAACATTATTCTGCATTATTACATATTATTTGGGCCAACTAGTTAAACCAATGAATTATGTATGTTTTCTAAAACTTATATATATATATATATATATATATATACAAAAAAATCATTAGTTAAAACATAAAAGGAACCTCAATTGGGGAAGGAAATAATAAATAAACAAAAAGGAAAAGAAAACAGTTACTATTCTGATTTTATAACAAAAGGAATTATGGTAACACAAAAAGACCCCTTAATCAAATGTAACAAGATCAGTTAGAAACAAGCTTTACCATGATCATTGCAATATTTGGAAAGAGACAGTAAGGTTTCACAAATCAAACAAATCTATTGAATATATTATATAAATTTCATAATCCTAAGTTTCAATTGGATTAATTAGGGGTTGTGGTTTAAGAGAGCACGTACCCCAAGCAATAGTGCACTCCTCGCTACTCGCACTTGCTTAATTAGCTTGGCACTCAATGCCTAATCAAAATCAACACACATCCAAATCACACAGCATATGCAATAACAATGAAGAAAAACCTACACAAAATAACACAACCAAAAGCTCTTACAGAGATCCATGATATGGTTCCTACAAATTGCACAGTTATCCACAACAATATCTGCAGCAACCGATACACAAATCAACTCAAATTCACAATGTATCACAAAATACACAATAAATTTCAAACTATTCACACACAAAAACGAATGCATGGTCACATATTCCTACAATCACAATATATATATTATATATATATATACGGACCCCAAGATCAGAGAGCGACGGCACTCCATTTTTTCATCTCGAATCGCTTGGATTTCTTGGCAGCAGAGGGATCAGAGGGAGGTTCGGCGATGGTAGATCCATCGTCGGCGGGCACCTCGCGACGTTGGTGTCCATTAATGGGGCCTAAGAGCGGGTAATGACAGAGAGAGGGCAAGTTCAGAGTCAAGAACGAGAATAGAGATGGAGGCGATTTGGGAGGCTGATCTGATTCTTGTAGATCTTGTAGTTTGCAGTCGCAGAGAGAGGGCAAGTTCAGAGTTGAGAACGAAATAGAGATGGAGGCGATTTGGGAGGGTCAAAGGATTTGCGTATGGTAGAGATGGAGGCGATTTGGGAGGCTGAAATGATTTGCGTGTGTGGTCTGTACTAGGGAGAGAGAGATCAGGGTTATAAATACAAATGTATATATATGGTGAAGGGTGTAAAAAAATATTAGGAGGACAATTTTGAAAATAAAGGGTTTAAAATGAATGGTCATGTGTATGACACATGACCAATTGACTTCTAATTGACTTCCAATTGATCGGAAGTATTTAGTTGCACATTTTTATATTTAAGTATGAATTTAATAAACAAATTAAATTATAGGGGTGTGATTCACACAAATTTAAGACTATAGTACTGTTTTTCAACTCTCCCATTTAATATTTTGTTATCGATCGCCACTCCCCACCCTCATTTTATAAACTTTGCTATTAAATATTCAACTTTCTAAAATATAAGAAAATTCATTCAAATGCTTTTGAAATAATAAACAACATTGTTATTTTAGAGAATGAAGTAAATCTTTTTAAATTAAGAACATTCAAACTGTATAAATATTCAACAACTTATAAGTATATATAATCATGTTATAAAAAATTAAAGTTGAAAGTTGGAAAGATTTATAACTAATATGAAAACCTTTATTAAAAAAAAAAAAAACAAAGATTTATTTAGTACAATATGAAGAAGGATAATACACACAACTTTTATATAAAACTCTAAAATTTTGATATATTTCTTTCTCACTTCTTGCTTACATAGATTTATAACTAATATGAAAACCTTTATAAAAAAAAAAAAAAAACAAAGATTTATTTAGTACAATATGAAGAAGGAGAATACACACAACTTTTATATAAAACTCTCAAATTTTGATATATTTCTTTCTCACTTCTTGCTTAAAAAAAAAATTCAAGAATATGTATTTATAGATACCATTACATGACTCTAGAAAGACACAAAAGACGAGACAATAAATAAAACACTAACTATAACACAAGTGTTTCATCTCCCAAAGAGATAGTTCATGTATTCACACTTGAGTTGGTTCATATATTCCACACTTGATTTGGTTTATGTATTTGGTTTAATGTTCCAACAATGCCTCCCGTAAATCAAATTTGCTTTTCATTCCTAACTTTGCAAGATTCTTCTTGAATAAAATTCCACCAAGAGGCTTTGTGAATAAATCTGTCAATTGTTCATCCGTCTTGCAATATTCAACTTGAATAATTCCTTCATTGACAAGCTCCTTTAAGAAATGATAACGGATGTGAATATGCTTCATCCTTTCATGTAGAACAGAGACAGTTGAACTATTGTTACAAAATAATGTTGTTGGCCATTCTTGCTTGTGCTTGAGATTTTCCAAAATACCTTGCAACCAAATGATTTGACAACCGGCAAGTGAGGTAATAATATACTCCGCTTTCGTTGTAGAAAGAGCCACAATAGCTTGCTTCTTTGAATTCCATGAAATTACATCACTTCCAAGATTAAAGACATAGTCGGATGTGCTCTTACTATCATCAATACTTCCCGCCAAGTTACTATCTGTGTAGCTAACAAGTTTAACCGGAACATTTGCTTGATAAAAAATAAAATAATCAATGGTTCTTATCACGTACCTCAAAATTCTTTTTGCAACTTCCCAATGACTTGAATGTGGTTTCTCCATGAATTGGCTAATTAAACTTACTACAAACATTATATTTGACCTTTTAGCTATTAAGTACATCAAATTTCCAATGCTTTCAAATGCAAAAATATTCTTCGCAATCTCCTTTGCTATGCAGACTTTGTATCTTGTCTTCTTCATGAGTCTATTTTTTTCCTTCACCCGAACTAGAAGTTGATCTTCACTATGGTTCTTAAGCTTGGCTTGAAAATTTTCAAACTTCATGAATTTACTGATGACTTGCTTACTTGAATTAAAGAATGTTTCCATGTTCATCCATGTTGTATCATTTGAGAAATATCATATAGAAAAATTCCTTATTTTTTCTTCAACAAGATTTTCAATTCCTCCATCAAATTCAACTCTGATAATTTCTTCTTTTGTGAACACTTCACTATCTATTTCTTTCCTACTTTCTTTAACTTGATTTTTTTTTTTTTCAAATTCTACCTCTTTGAGTACTTCACCATTAGTATTTACTAATTCTTCTTTTTCCTCTTTTTCTTCTCTCAAAAGTTTTTCTTCATCACCATTGACTCCTTTTGCCTCTATTTTAAACTCTACTTCTAAAATTTTCTCATCTTCCATTTTTCTACTTTTCTCATCAAATTCTCCTTCTTCTAAATCTTCTTTTTCTTCCATCTCATCAAGATTCTCTTCATTTTCATCTTCGCAAACAATTTTTTCAAAAAATCCATCTTCATTATAATTTGGAAACCAATATTTAGTGGATACTGATTTGAATTTATAATTAGATGAAGACATAAATTCAAGCTTTTGTCATGCCTGACTTGGAGATTTCAAATTTTCAACATGCTTCCAAACTTCTTGATGAACTGCATTTTTTAGTATCTTCAGCACCTGCTCTTCTTTTTGTTGTTCTTGAATTGTTTAGCTGAACACACTTTAAAATTTTTATCACATCATACCAAAAGCCACATGCTTTAATTAAGATAAACCAAAATAATATTGCTCCAGTAGGCATAATTCGAAGGAATCAAATTTTCATTCATTTTTTTCGATCTTTGGACGACTCCTTGAATCTTCTTTGAGTTGATTTTTCACGAGCCAAATTTTATTTTACTTCACGCTTCAAAATCACTCCACCTTTCATACTTTCAGATTCATAGAATCATTGAGGCTTTGATATCAATTTGTAAGGGGCTCTGATATCAATTTGTAAGAGGCATTTAATATGAAGAAGGAGAATACACATAACTTTTATATAAAACTCTCAAATTCTGATATATTTCTTTCTCACTTCTTGCTTACAAAAAGAATTCAAGAACATGTATTTATAGACACCATTACATGACCCTAGAAAGACACAAAAGACGAGACAATAAATAAAACACCAACTTTAACACAAGTTTTTGTCTGCCAATGAGATAATTCATGTATTCTACATATGAGTTGGTTCATGTATTCCACACTTGAATGGGTTCATGTATTTGGTTTAATTTTCTAACAGAACTTATTGGTCATTAGACAAAAATTTTTTGTGAGACTAGAGAAAATTAGATTTTGGTAACTAAAGCTAAATAAAATTCTTTTAAAGTGACTCAAAGTAACAAAAATATGAATTCTCATCAAATTTAAAACTTAAATACTAATGACCATTAAAAGTGTGGCCCCCACTCCATTTTTCTTTCTTTTCTCTTTTAAATTGGCGGGTCTATCTACTATGGTGACACATCAAAAAGAATAGTTATACTCCCTTCGTCCCGCAAAGAGTGTCGCTTATGGGGAATACAATTTTTTAAGAGTGTTATTTTTTATAATTTTTTTTATAGTAGTATGAGATGAATTTCTTAATATGCCCTTGTAGCAATTTATGAATATAGTACAAAAGTTGTTTGAATTGAACTTTCAAATTTGAATTATGGGGTCCACAATAGCTTTTTTTCAGAAGTTTTAATTACCTTTATAATTTCAAGACAAAGGGTATATTAGGAATATTTAAAAAATAGTGTATTGGATTTTGAAGTATGACACTTATTTTGGGACAGCCAGAAAAGGAAAGTAGGACACTTATTTTGGGACGAAGGGAGTATTTATAAAGAGCACTGACGTGACTCTCAAAAAACATATATGCATATATAGTCCAACTAAACAACACACCATACCGAATACCCTAACACGAGTTTCTTGTTGGGTTTTTGGTGACCCAACAGAAAAATAGAATTCCGGGAACAGAGAAAGACAATCTGTGAGCGTAATCGAAGGCTTGGTGGTGGAGGTCTTGTTCAAAGCTAATTAAGCTACTCATTGAAGTCCGTATCCATTACTACAGAAAATATGTTAGAACGTATTAGAAGATTCAGTGCTGGTCTCGTTCTTGTGGTCTATTCTTCGTAGAATTCCAACTCCTCGTGGTTGTGGCCTTGCCGTGCCCTAACATTTACTTACTGTGAATTTGAAGTCTTTGACCTCATTCAACATAATTTCATTTGTGATCTTATTTGGTCAATTAAATAAATTTTGTAGACTTTAAATTAATAATAATAATAATAACATTGATTCTTATAATGCCTTCACTAGTCTATCACCTTCCTCTTCCTCACATTCAATCTTTTATATATATTTATTGGCAAAAAACTTACACACATTACTCACATATCTACTTAGTTTGCTAGATACTCAAACCCTCACTATTCATTTAATTTGCTAGATACTCAAACCCTCACCATTCATTCTTATATTAGAATGAGTAATACTATCATTAGAATTTATTCATGACATTTCTTTATTGACAGTTATATTGAAAATTTCAATACTAAATCAGATTTAAAAATCATACTTAATTTAGTAAGATACCAAGAGTAAAGTAGTATAATATATAGCAACACAACCAAGTAAACACATAATAAGAGGATTTTTCTAAGCAGAACAAGGACAACTAAAATTCTAAAGAGCAGTGATAGAGCAACCTAATCTTATTCTCGAAATAGTCACAGAACCGTGACATGATTTGGCCACGTCAGACTTCTTAAAAGGTAAGACTCAGAAAATAAACCTCCTCTATAATTTTTCACGTAAACTGTAAGAAAAAATAAAAGAATAAAAGCCTTATCAATAATCATAGATAGAGAAAGGCAATGGTGTGAAGATATGGTGGTTAAATATACAAATCTGACATATATATACATACAAATGTGTGTGTATATATCTATATATAAAAGTTCTCACAAATTTAAAAAGTTAAATAACAAAACACATTCTCATAACAACATCGATCCAGGATTCAGACTCCTTCTAGGCTTTGTAACGAGTTTTCTTTTCCGATAACTATTCAATTGGTATTCTCTTTCACAATTTTTAAAAACAAGAATTAGGGCAAAACATGAAACTGACATGGTGATGGTAGAATTGAATAAATTGGGTTTTTTTTTTTTTTTTTTTAATTATTTATCATGAAATTGACATGGTGATGGTAGAATTGAA